TGTTTGTGATTTGAGGAAATGTAAACTGTGAGATATATTTTTAATATTTAAATATTGGAGAGATAATATTGGTCTATGGTTCATCTGCTCCCACTTCTAGACAAGATACCTGTATAGCTAGACCCTGCTTTGTTGACATAATCAATGCCGGTCCTCTTAGGTTGGCACCTTGGAAGCTGCTACTGGGAGTCTTACATGTGCCAATCCTTACTTTCACCAACAGACTTGTAGATAACAAAAAACCTTGCTTACCTCAAAAGAGACAGACAGATGGACAGTTTGACGACAGCGGTACCGAGGTGATTTATGGAGATTCCAGATGGACTCGTTGCTAAAAGAAGCTAACTGTTGCTAACAGTAATGTTAACAGCTAACGTTATCCGACTTTTTCCGACATTTTCTGCACCTTTCACCTAAAATGTCACCAGTTAGAATATAAATTTGTTCTCCCATCAATGCACATTCAAACTCAATGTTAATATTTCATTGGTGAAGGGCTTTACTAGCTGAATGTGTTTGTCAATACAAAGTAAATTAAATGATTTAATGTCTAAACGCTACAGACATATGCAGTTAAACTATAAACTAAAAGTAAAAACATACAATATACATTTAAACATCTTTATATTTGTGGAGTGGATCCACGTTGTGAGTAGCAACGGTTGTGCTCACATCTCATTTTTGGGTAAACAGAGCGTAATGAGAGCGGAGCGGCTTCGGGCTCTGCCTCTCCAACGCCATAAAGTTTATTGAGGGGTGGAGGCAGTAAAAATGGTTTCACCACAGAGACGCAGATATGTTTGTTGAGGAGGCGTGATGAGCTCTGATAGCAGCAGGATTCGCCAGCCGAGTTTGGACTTTTGAGATCGACATTATTGTTACATGCTGCAGATGTTTTATAAGGTTTGTTCTCATGCGAGTGAAAGTGTCGAGTAAAGATGGTCTTGACGGTGAAGTCGCCGTCTCTATCGGCCCTTTTAGATGCCTGAATGCCTTCAGATTAAAGACCACAGCAGTGAAAAGCCAAACATTCACAGAGAAAGGCTGTAAAACAAAAATTACCTCAGTCATCATCAATGAAAGGACGTTTCATTGAGCCACTGAAACAGGTGGAAACTGTTTGTTATCTCCAGAAGGAAACCCTGTTAGCTCAGAGATGCTGGTTTTATATTAAGACGGCTCGCACTCTCACTGCGTCTTTATGGCTGTTTAATGAAGAGTGCAAACGTTTGTCAGGTGCTGTGATCAATACTTTTGTGATCAGTTTGACTTGAGTTTCAGTGCGTTCCATATTTAAAATGCATCAGAGAAAAAAACAGGCATTCAGATGCTGTTTGGCTGATCAATAATACTATACTATAATACTCTTTTATTTTAAGGTAGATATTAATAACTAATAAACTAAATATGATCAGTTCTCTGTGGAGAAACTACAGGTTCAGTTCTTGTTGATCAGGATTGAGTCAATAAATATGACCTGTGTAACAGTTTCACTTTCCCAGATATCTGCTGTTACTGACTCCTGCTTCATTTCCATGAGATATAAAACAGCTTTTTTTTTTACTTCACGAAATGAAATAAAACATAAAGTTTGTCCCGACTCACACTGAGAGAAAGTCTGAAGTCTTTTGAGGCTTTTAAACAGTAGACGAGTGTAAAGAGAGTTTTTATGGCCGCGGCCTGGTGGCTCTGCTCGCTCTGTGTTAACGGCGTTAATGAGGAACAACATCCTCGGCTGTTATCACCGAGGTCAAATGTTCATCCAGTCAGAGGCCAGTAAAGAGCAGGATGTGGAGCAACCTGGAAAATATGACCAACTTATTATCACTGAACTTATGTAACCTCCGAGGTCGTCTGTCGCTCCTTCATACTAAAATATAAATTATCAATAAGAACAGGATCGGTGTTTTATTTTATCAGTTTGTCCTTCCTGGAAACACACACACACACACACACACACACAGGAGACTCCTCAAACACCAATGACAGCTTGGCGATTTGACGAGGGCGGCGGCCATTTCAGGCCACATTTCATGCCTCCAAAACAAAATGGTTGACAGCACAACACCATGGTGACGACCTTGAACGGCTCGCTCGGACCTCAACGTTACGATTTAACAAAATAAAGTGCAGAATGAACATTAAAGCGCAGAATGAACATTAAAACCCAGAATGAACAATAAAGCGCAGAATGAACATTACTGGGACACTGAACGCCTCGCCTGCGTTGCTTTTAAAATCTGTTTGTAGCCAATCAAAGATGTTTACTCCATCATCTCAACAATAATTAGAGCAAATAGTAAAAAGGAAAAGACAACAAAGTGAGCAAATAACTCTCGCCTCTCGCCGGCGTCCATAAACTCTCGGGGAATCGTCCTCATCCAGACTTATACAGCCACATGTTTATGGGCCATTTTACCATAAACTTTCATTTACAATATACTTACTGCCCCTAATACGCCCCTGTATTGGCCACATTGATTGTGGATAAACAGTGGAGTTGTAAAGGAGCAGTGGAGGAACGGTAGTGCGCTGTAAAGGCCAGATAATACTGAAGACACGACGGGACTACTGGTATTCCCCCGTAAAACGCCGCAGATTCTGAATGAGGTTTGGTGTGTGTCACTGATTGTGTGTGTTACACCGGCCTTATACGCGGTAGTTCGTCAGAGGTGGTGAATAAATGCAGAAAAACACACGATGGGGATGTAAAAAAATCTTGTAGAAAATCTACAAAAATATACTTTAAAATTAGGTAAAAAAACTGAATTTTATACAATTTTATATTAGAAAATAGCAGTGAGAGAGAGAAAAGAGTAGAGGTGGTAAATAAATACAGAAAAACACAATGAAGAAGTAAGAAATTACAAATTTAACTTGATGATCCACAGAATTACATACACATTTATATATATATTTTAAGAAATAAAAAAATAAAACAGCAGAAGAGGTAAAGAAAAAATACAGAAAAACACACAATGAGGATGTAAAAAAAATAAAATAAAATGTATAAAAAATTATATATTTCAAACACTTTTAAATAATTCAAATGTTTAATATAAACATAAATAATATATAAAAGAAATAATATTTATTTAATGAAATAAATGGATAAATAAATTAAATGCAGCAGATTCTTAATGAGGGTCTTTATCACTGAAATTAATGTACAAATAAATACAAACTAAATATAAAAATATCACCAAATTAAACAACAAAATATTAAAATGTCCTGCTTCTGTCAAAATAAAAGCATGAGTTGTTTTATAGCAGCAGTGTGTTCGGGGGAAACGAGGAGTTTTATGAAGGAGTGATTGCAGTCTATCAGTCAGACAGATCGTTGTCTCCAATTACAGCTCATCATACAGTAAACTGCTGCAGCCCCATTAACCTACATCACACACACACACACACACACACACACAAAGTGTCTTATCAGCCCAACAATTTCAATTAAGTGAAGTTTATATTATTGTCCTGATTCACTGTCGTTTATTATTATTTTACTGCCGTTAATGTGCCAGTAAAAAGCAGCTGTTTTTATTCTGATTGTTTACATTGTGTTATTATATTTGTCCACATAAAACATACGTATATATATGAAATATTACTGCGGTTAATGTGAAATACTGTACTGTAGGATATATACATATATATATATATTCTATATATTGTCATGTTTATATTATAATGTACATACAGACTGTTATTACATTTTTCTATTTTTATTTTGTATATTTTTCTATTTATATATTGTAATATAATGCATATTTTTAATGTTCTTCTTATTTCTATTTCTTTAATGTCTTGTGAGCAACTGTAATGAAACAAAAGTATATAAATATATATAAAATATATAAACGTAAATAAACATAATCATTATATCTGGCTTTATGATTTAAATATATATAATATATAATAGAATATTCTTTATTAGTTGTCATTAATTGTCATTGTCATTAAATCATTTGAACAAAACTACTCTGAAATTAATGTTTGTGGAACATTTTAATCCAAATCACTTAATCAGTTTATAAAATGTTTTTATTCATCATCAGTATTAAAACTTTATTTAAAGTCTGAATTTAACAAAACATTTGTTTTAAAACTGCAGTTTGTGTCTGTTAGAGGTTGATGATAATTCCCAGAATGCACTTCAGTCACTTTGTTTCTGTCCGATGGGACAACGTGGTTTATTCTGCTTTCTCATAAATACTGTGTGTAAAGAATGAACGACACTAAATTAATTAACTTATTGGTTCATCTGCCAATTAGCTGAAAATCCTCCGTCCAAAAACATTTTTCTGACCATGAAACTTTTTCTCTTCATGTTTTCTTACAAACAGAAAACTACAGCGACACATTATTCTTACTCTGATTATTACATTAATTTAACAAACACAAAATGTTGGCGCTTGGTCGGAGTTAATTTGGGACTTTTCAGACTTCAGTGTAATATATTGTGTAATAATTATATTGGGTTCAGGGTTGAGGTGAATTATGGGATTGTGTAACATTATTTTATGTTTTATGTAGAAACTCTTTAACTCTCAGCTAACAGTGCTCATTGTGTCACATATAAATGCTTAGATGTGACCTACTATACGCAGTTTTTTAGCTTTTATTTATCACCTGTTGCTCTTTTCTAGTAATATTTCTGCTTTACTAACTTTAACTAACAACCGATCATAATGTGATTCTGGTTCTGGTTCTCACAGCGGAAGCTAGAAGTTCATATTGAATCAGTAACATTCAGTCACTGTGGATCATTTCTGACCTGCTTTTACCTGCAGTTTATAAGAGCTGGTTAACAGGTGTGTGTGTGTGTGT